GACAGGGTGTGTTTGCCTGCAGGGGTATGAATTTCTCAAATGGCTTGAATTCTGAAGGGGCCACTATCCGGGTTGCAGCCCTGTACAGAGTAATAAGTTTTCCTTATTTGATATGAAAAACAGCTTAATTTTTTTCATTCATAAACCCAGCATCCCTAACTTAAGCTTTATAATGATTTAGTTTCCTGAGAGAAAAAAACTATCTGAAAATTTAAAAAAAACACCTGCTACTTGTCTTTTCTTTTAAAAAGTGGATGTAGTTTTATATGGCAGAAATAAATGGTAGTTTTACTTTGCCTAAAAAACAATGTTATGACTGACCATGTAAACTGAATTTAAAAATCCTAAATATACTACTAATCAGGGCTTTTTTTTTCTCATAGAACGCCCAGAACGGAGTTCCGGCACCTTTTTTGGATGGAACCTTGTAGGGTAGGCAAGGCGGGTTGTATGACATGTGTGAGTTCCGGCACCTTTTTTTTTTTTTTTTAAAGAAAAAAAGTACTGCTACTAATTATATTTCAAAATGTAGTTTCATTGGTTTTTTTCAGTTTTCAAGTGATTTATTGTGTATCAGTTATTTATTATGAAACTAAAACTGCTTTCTCAGACATGCAAAATTTAAATATGGCCACTACACTCCTCAGTCATTTAAAATATTTTAGTGATGTTCTTACACCACCTTATGACTATTTGCAGTCATTTCAGATATACTTATATAAAATGGAATAGTCTGTATTTTCATGAGAGAATTGTGGCATGCCATAGCTATCATTATGTTAGGTAACTCGACACTTAAAAACTTAACAAATTCCTCTATATTTCACAGTAGGTCAAATTGCAAATATCCGCATAAAATTCTCTTCCAGATTCACAGAGGAATGAAGATGGACAAGAGCAAATGTTCTTTATTTTAAATTCTGCTCAAATCATGAATATTAGTATTTTCCTAAGCATTTTTTTAAAAAAATAATTACAGTAAACATTTATGATAGACTTCAGTAACTCTTAAAGCTGGGTAAGTATAATGATGTTTCATAAGAAGAAACTGAGATTGGCTTCTCATTTGTAAAAAGTAAATCTGAAATCTGGTTAGGGATATATCAGTGTAGCTCAGGAAATGATTGTTTAAAATCACAGCTATTTTTTCTCCAAATTAATTATTTTATTATAGAATACAAATAATACTACATAAAACACAAAAAGTAGCTTGTTTATACAATAGAAACAGGAGGTTATAATTGTTAATTGTGCAATTAAAATAAACATTTCACAATAATAAATTTATATCACTATTAAATATATTATCTAAGCTACTTAAACTTAACGAAATAAATGTAAAAAAGAAAAAGAAAGAAAAGAGAAAAGAGCACAAAAATGATCATTTTCTTTTTCATACTCTTGAGATGTAGCCGGATGGTGGTATCATAGAATATACCATAATCTGCCAATCTTTTATCATTCTGCAAGGCTACATTTTCTTGCCCAAGTTCCTCCAAATATAGCTCACAAGTATGCCCTTCGTTCCCAATCTTCTTCTTGATGTACATGATAGTTTGAAGAGGGTTGCATGATATAACTACAGGTGTTCCTGTCCGTTGTTTCACCGTCACCTCAATGTTTCGGGTTGGCTAAAAGAAAAAGGTGAAACAATTGACCAAAACATTAAACATCATTTATGAACATAATTGTCCTACCAGTAACATATAATAAATCAGTAATGTATAATATCTATATATTATTTACAGATAATACTCTCAGTTTTTCTCTGTTTGTAATCTTCAGTTAGCAAAACAGTACATCATGGCACAACAATTTTTGAATCAAGGTACCGAAAATCCACCAACTTACAGAATGTATGTAAAATCTGGGACCCAATACTCCCATGAAACTGAAATTTCAAGGTCTTAAGAATAGTTGTATTGGCAAAGTTCTAGTTGCTAAAGCTCCACAACAGACAGCCATGGTTACATGTTTGTGATTCCCAACAGTCCTTCCAGTTTCCCAATAGGGAAGCTGGCAGGAAGTTGGAAATTGCTCCCGCTGCCACTGCTGTTTGGCTGCTTGGGGTCATTCTGTTTATCTCTTTTGGTAGGTAAATTTTGACTTATTATTGAAGTTTGTTTATTGTATTTGTTCTTACATCATACTGCACTACATATCTCTCAAAGGATCATCCAACAGGTAATAATTGTCTAGTATTAGATACAACTGTGAATTCTAGGCCTCCCTTAGGCATGAAAGCTGGTTGGATGACTTTGGGCCAGTCCCTTTCTCAGCCCAACCACTTTGCAAGGTGGCAGGTATTAGGTGTGTTTGCCTTCTTAAGTTATATATATTAAAAAGGTAAGATAACAACAACAACAACAACAATAATAATAATACATTTGCCTGCAAGGAGGAACTGATGGGAACCATAAAATAGACAAAGTAATAGAAAATGAAAAAGCTAAACTGCTCTGGACTTTAGAATTCAATTAGACAAGTACTTGCCACATAACAACCCAGATTTAACAATTGATAAGATAAAAAATTCTAGATAGTGGACATTGCATTAAGAAGATAACAGAAGAGAAGAGAAAGAACTGGAGAAAATCACAAAATACAAAAACCTGCAAATAGAAATAGATTGACTGTAGCAAATAAAGCAAAAATAGTACCAATAGTGATAGGCACTTTGGGTGCATTCCCAAAATATCTGGAGCACCACTTGAACACCACTGACATTGATAAAATCACCATCATCAACAGAAAAAGGCAGTTTTATTTGGAACAGCTTACATCCTGTGACAATACTTTTAACACTATCAAACAACAACTTCCACTTAACCCAGGTTCCTGAAAAGGACTCAATAGGTGGATAAAAATATGAAATTCAATCTGAACATCTGGCTGATTGTGCAACCAACCATAATAATAATGTGTGTTATTGATATACAGGCCAGAACAGAGTTCTCTAATTTTTCCAGGTTGTTGGCCCGGAGGGGGGGAGGGGAAAAGAGGGGATGGTTTTGTCGGAGGGGTGAGTAGGCCAAGAGCACCCGTGACACTTGCACAAGTGGGGCCTCAAGTGCCAGCAAAGCTTGTGTGAGTGAGGTCTGAGTGCCCGTGACCCTCATGTCAGTGAGGCCTCGAGTGCCCGCAACACTTGCACCAAGTGGGGCCATGAGTGTGTGTGAGACGCTCACGAAGTGGGGCTGTGAGTGCCTGTGACACTCATGTGAGTAGGGCTGTGTGTGAATATACACACATGCACACCAGGCAGCCACTCACGGGGCCTGGTTGCAAATAGGCCATGGACTGGTAATGGGCCGCAGACCACAGGTTGGGGACCCCTGGTCTAGAAACGTTCTAGAAGTTTATCCTAGATAAATGATATACAATGATAAATGACCAACTACAGGATTGGTCCAATCCATTTTGCTGCGTGAAAAGATTAGGATGCCTTCTACTCCAAGTGCAGCTTAGGTCTGTACCTAGATTTGTCTATTCCAAAACACTGAACTTCTTCTGTTGTAAATATGGAAGTTTAAATGTATATATAAGATCACTGTCCTGGTATATAATTCACTTGTATTTCATTTTGTGCTACGTAGTAACAACTTCACTGTGATGAAACGTTTATGACAGTGGTGGCGAACCTATGGCACGGGTGCCAGAGGCGGCACTCAGAGCCCTCTCTGTGGGCACGCGCGTCGTCGCCCCAGTCCTAGGCCTTCAGCTGGGTTTTATAAAACCTTTCCGCTTTAGGCCTCCGCCGCCGTGTACAAAAAAAAAAAAGGTTCAATCAATCAGTCAATTTCAACTTCTTGCAGGGAAAAAAAAGATCTTGCAAAGTTGGAATTGATTGATTGAACTTTTTAGTCCCATCCAGTCTGCTGTTACCACCGCAGCCACACCCAGACAATGGGCCACACCCACCCAGCACCCGACGATGCATAAGTGGGTTTTGGGTTGCAGTTTGGGCA